TGTTACCCGGTATGAGGGTGTTGGTGTTTGACTTTCTATATTATCTCCCGTGATATTGACTCGTCTTATTTTATTCTTTTCTATTGTTTATGATATTACCTGTCTTTCAATCCTTTCCTACTGTCAAATGTTTTACTCTTATTTATGCCTTGCATCGATTGGACTCCTCCAACATTTATCTTTTCCCTCAATTTATGAGTCGTTCGGAATCAGACTGATGGGTTTTAGATTATATAGTCTATATTGACAGAACATACAACATTTCAATGGACACAACAATACAGTAATTGAATTATATCTTTATCTGTGCATTGAATTTTATTGTATTGTTTCTTAATAAATCAGGAACTCCTCTTATTAGTTGTATGTCATTTTGTATTTACTTTACAATGGAAAATAAGACAACTCAATTATTTATATTACGAAATGAATTGTATGGACTTTAACAGATTCCTTCTAATTACAAACAGCGATGTAACTGTATTATGAATATGAAAACTTGTCAAATCATTCCATTGCTGCTGTTTTATGTGATTATATTGGTGTTTTCGAATATTAGAATATTTTCAATCAATTTGAAATAAAGTACACGAAGCCGTACATGTGACATTGCAACCTATCTAGATACTTTTCATGTTTTCAGTCAGAAGTAACCTAAATTCGAGGCTTTGCAGCATTAGTTGGTATTCATTTTATTAGCAATTGAATTTAAATTTGGCAAAGGAAGGTTAAAATATTTAAATACGGTATATTGTCAAATGTTGAGATATTTTATTTCCTCTTCCTATAACTGTTTGGTTCTCAAATTGATAATTATGTTGTGTAGATCATACAAAACACGAAAAATGGCCTCTTTAAATATTGCCAGAACATCATTGGAACAATTTTGAGGTAATGTTACATCGAATCATTCATCTGGAGCTTTATAAAATTTGTATCTCCACAGTGCATGGTTACCATAAAAAACGGCAATATGAAGATTTAAACATCATCCCTTTTTGTAATAACTGATTTTACTTATACGTGTGCAATAATTGAATGACATTATTTGTTGATTTTGCAAAGGCCTTGATACTGTTTGAAATGCAGGACTTGGGTTAAAATTGTTAAGATAATTTGGGTTTAACATGTTTTGTGAGATCTCAACCCTCCCCCTATACCTCTGGCCAATGTAGAATAAACAAATACACAGCAAACTAACCCACTCGCATTTTCAAGATTACTTGAACATTAGTCTGTTCGATATGAATAACTACAATATCATCCATACATAATGTTTGAAAGAATATAATTTTACAAAATATGGAATTCAACCTGGTGTTTGTGATGAGCTATTGAAATGCGATCTTAATATTATTTCCAGTAGATTAAATGAGTGCGCAGGTGGATTGAACGTGAAGAAATACGATAGTAAATCTGTCTCGGAAAAAAGTATTATCTGTTGATATATTATTATTTGATAACTGAAATATTAATTTATTGTTTATTATAAGCCTTGTGTTCCATATAGACCAATAAATCACTATAGTCTATCGAGAATTCCATATACATATCACAAAATTGTTTCGTCTACTTTAACCAATCTCCCTGAATCAATTTGCAGTACATTTTCAAACTTTCGATTATTGGAAATTAATATTTACATTAGATAATGTTGAATTATTGTTTGAGTTTCAGTCATTCCTTAAATGACTATTATTGTAAAAATATAGTTATGGTTTGTGCAAAATACCATAGCATTTTAGACGATTGGTGACCATGAAATGTTTATTATCGATCACCACGTGATGTTAGATTAACGATTACTGTTTTCATGACGTTACATGTGTTTCATATCTATGTTAAATCAAAGACATTATTTAAAAATATTCACAACCAAACATCATCAAAGATACCTGACTTTTGGTTTGTCAGACTCTCTTTTCCTCTACATAACTCGTCAGTGGATCTTCATTGAGCAAAATACAATTTGGTAACGATTAAAGTTAGTTTAGACCAGAGACATATATATATATATATATATGGCAGACAGCAGGGTTTAAGAACATCAGTTGTTCGACCTGCTAGTCAAATGCGTTTTGTTAAAATATACTTTTTCACTCATCTGGTCTTTTTGAAAATGTTGTTTGTGCTGTATTTAGACCCCTCTACCAAGAAATTTGTTTTGCATGCACATGTATAAAAATTACGGTTTTTATCCAACGCAATCATAAGTTTGAACGTTGTTTTCAATTTAGACTTGTATACATATATATATATATATATATATATATATATATATGTCTCTGTTCAGACACAGTACAAAACGAATCAAATAAACATCAGAATTTCCAAGACCTGTCGAGTAAAATTTAGTACAGTTCAGTTTCAAAGAGGTAGGGTCAATTTCCCCTGAATTTATTTACTTTCCATTTTTTACTTAAATTTATTGTATCAATGCCTAATGTAGGTTCTTTAAGGTTCTAACAACATTATAGCTTATATCTAAACAAACATATACGCAATAAAAAAAACCCGCAGTTTTGACAGATTTTGACAATAATAATAAAATAATAAGTATCTATAAAAAAAATGAATAAAAAGGACATCGTTTACCTGAATATTAACAAACCTTATGTTGGAACTAAAGCTATGTATTGTCTTTCGGATACAAATTAAGTCAGCCTGGTTAGCTTCGTCCTTCGAAGCAAAATTTGACAAAAGCATGATAAATTTGCAGTTACACATGTATGTGCGATATACCTTCAACAGCAACATGTAGCACTTCATACCATTTTTTGGTGAAAATTTGTAAAATTGTTAAAGAATATATTAATAGATGATATATATAGGCTCTTTCATATTCACTTTCCAGTATGATTAAAATTTTGACAACTTTCAGATTTAGACCATGGAAGTGAATTAAATACAGGGAAAACTGACCATACCTTTTTGGTCTTTTCGGACTGTCCCTGGTTCGTGATGATTTCATCAAAAGTAAATTGAACGAAACACATATGACGGTTGTGGTCTGCAAATCTTCTATTTAAACTGCTGTTCCAAAAGAGTTGGACGTGGGACCTCTACTTTTTACAATTTATATCAATGATATCGCTGATCTGTAGATTCTTTAAGCAAATGATGTATCAATTGGCTAATCTGACCGTGATGCAATGCAGATAAAATCTGTAAATCACGTCTCGCAGTAAGTGACCGAACAGTAACAAATGACTTAATATGTCTTCTAAATGTCGATAAATCAGGACTTATTCTATTTTGTAACATTAAAATCCATTAATTAATTTAAATGAACTATACCAGTAAACGGGTAAAATTTTGTGTGAATTGAAGATATAAGATTGAATGTGATATGAAGTTGGAATATGCTTGGGAAACTAACAGACTAAGTTGAATAATATTTCTAGTTTTTATAAGACTGTGTTTTGAGTACGTATGTGAACTTTGGGATGAACGCGTGTTGGTATTACTAAAACTCCTGAGCAGTTACCGTTTGAAGCCGCTAGAATAATAACTTGTTGGTTATATCTGGCTCATGGACATTTGTTTATTAAAATGGAAGACTCGCTGACAAAGTAGAGAAGTTTGTTTTATTAGTCGTGATAAGATTATTAAAAATTAACGTATGCCTGTGTATCCATTATGCAACGGAGACAAATAAAGTATTCCCTTCTGTACAATAAAAACACTAATGAATCACCATGCATCTATGCAACAATCTTGTACCAACAAAGTAACATGTGGTATATACCACGCTAAATATCATTTCCTTTTTCGCGTATACTACTCAAACATTTTGATAATCATGACTTGCAACTGACGGTTGGTTATGTATAGTAGTTTTTACGTCAGACATTCTGTACCGAAGTTAAGAACAAATCGATCTTTAATTACATGTTTTGTTATTCAAGGAAACGGTTAGCAAGGTGGTATAAAAAACATTAGCAGGAGCATACAAATCAAAATCATTACATATAATTACAATTATTTCTAAGTCTTTTTTTATTTGATTGGTTTCTTTTGATATGTTAGGAGTTAGACTGGCTCTACGCTTACTCTCTCTATAATTCATATGTGTAAATTGTAATACGGGGAAGACTGTATTCGACATGTATAAACATTTGAAAAATTACAATATCTTTAACAAAAGTCAGAGTTATCGGACGTTGATAAGAGTTGGGTTTAAAGAAATGACAAGAGATATTTTCCAGAAAACAAGTGAAAACGGGAATTTTAACACTTTTGTCAACTTTAAACATATCTTCTGAAATGTTTATCTGACATCGGACTCTGACTTCTTTTGAACTGAGTTTTACTGTGCGTATTGCTATGTGTTTCTTTATTCTACATTGGGTAGAGGTATAGGGGGAGGGTTGAGATCTCACAAAACATGTTTAACCCCGCAGCATTTTTGCGCCTGTCCCAAGTCATGAGCCTCTGGCCTTTGTTAGTCTTGTATGTTTTTTTAATTTTAGTTCATTTATATGTTTTGGAGTTTAGTGTGACGTCCATTTTCACTGAACTAGTACACAATTTTATTTAGGGGCCAGCTGAGGACCACCTCCGGGTGCAGGATTTTCTCGCTGCGTTGAAGACCCATTGGTGGCCTTCGGCTGTTGTCTGCTCTTTGGTCGGGTTGTTGTCTCTTTGACAATTTTACATAAACTAATACCTTTTAAAAAAAATCGATGAAAAATCAAGGGTAATCTAGACACACTTTAAACCCGCAAATTACAAAATTTTAAAATATTTAGAAAAATCACACAACTATATATTTGCAAACACAGGTTTACGTAAAACAAAACTGACGTATAAATGTAATGCGATGCTTTCGGTTACTGATAAAAACTAGAGGTAGTAATGTATTTCATCTGAACTATCTGGTGATTTCTAAATTTAAGGATGTATGACAGCAGTTTAACGATACGTATTTCATATTTTGTTTGATTTTGTTATTTACTTTATGGGCGTCTCACTTTACTATACCTTTTTTTTCATTTCAGCATGGCCGCCGGAATTGTACAGTATTTGGGAAGCTTATCCATTTCGTTTTGGTGGTGAATTTTGTATTCTCAAATCTTACATTCAAGAAGGGACTGCATATGCTTCAGTTTTGACAATCACAGCATTCACAGTTGAGCGCTATGTGGCAATATGTCATCCAATGAGATTTCAAGGATTTTCAAATCTTTCAAGGTCAATCAAAGTCATTATAGCGGTATGGGTGGCTTCTTTTAGTTACGCTCTACCGTACGCACTTTATGGAAAACAGTTTTATTACGTACAAGATCCAAATACAAATGAGCCACTTGAGGATTCGCTCGTTTGTAGCATTCCATTTGAATATATAGATATGATGAAGATAATGTTTCAGGTTTCATCTTTTGCATTCTTTTTTCTTCCAATGACAATAATACTTGTAATGTACATTCTAATCGGAATAACTCTGTATAATTCAGACATGATTGGGGATAATAAAAGTTTTTCAAGGTCAAGTAAAACGAGCGCAGCTTCAAATTCTCTAGGACAACGAAATAGTAACCATGTATACGACCCAACCAAAGCACGAAAGTCTGTTCTGAAAATGCTTGGTACGTATGGTATTTTCAATAAAAATATGGTTTACAATTTTGCTTCTGATTTACTATTTTTTTTTATTATTAACCTCGGTACAAAGAACCATTGCATACACATTGCGTGTCTCGGTCTTCAGTAGAAAATTTTGTATAAGTTCATGCTTTTGTATGAAATGTCATTCTTAGCCACTTATTTTTTTTTATACGGGATGAAGTTTATTCATACACATTTTCCCGTTTTAAATTCATTTGCCAAATCTGTAGCTTAAATGGCTGTTTTGGTGGTGTGAACTTTTGTTCGTACACTTTTCACATTAGCATCTTTGGAGGTCTTCTACAAAGTGATCCTTATTAGAAAAAAACATGGCTTCTAGTTGATACTGATTGCCTTAATTCCAAAAATTGCAAAGCGTAAAATGTTGAAGGTTGATGATTTGAAAATACAAATGATCCTTATTCAATGCCCAGGTGGCAAATATGGAGGCAGTGTTGGGACATTTATTATATTTACCCACTAATAATTCAAACGAAATGACGTTTTTATTTACATAATCATTATAAATTAAGTCAGTCAGTAAGCAACTGAAGTAGACCTTCATCAAATGGAAACCAATTGCAATACTTTATTTGCTTCCGTATACAAATAACATAATATTGTAATATATAGCAGTATGATTTGCAAGATAAAATGCATAATAAACCCCTGAAAACTGATTGATGAACGATGATACTAAAACAAACATTCATAAAAAACACCCACAAAAATGTGCATGTGCAAAACAAAACTTCATCGCTTTTGGTGTTAAATTTCAAAGATCTGAAACAAAACTCTAAAAATCATAATGGGAAAACTAAAGCTTTTGACAATGATACAATCCAACTTAAAATCATTGGTAAAACAAAAGATTTTTTGTAAAATCTTCCTCAAAATACGCGTTTTTTCGTTTTTTTCCATGGAATTTTCAGTTCTTTTCTATTGGTGATTTTGACTATCCCTTTGGTATCTTTCTTTTTTCCACTACACGAGGCATCAAGTATTACATCCCCATTGTGGCAGTGAATCTACTTTAACATCTTGTTAACCTAAACGAACACAATAAAGTATGCTGCATGACGCGAGAAATTTAGATTACTTTATTTTCATATTCCAAATCAAAAGCATGATAACAGCAGTAATTTCAATAAGATATTCTAGCTTAAAGCGTGCTTATAAAAAGAACATGTAAGCGAGGGTTTATTGTAAAAAAACTATGATAGTCTGGATTTGATCACGTTTGTTCGTAGATTTAGAATCAGTTCTGTCGTTTATCACATGCATTATAAACCTATCCATAAATGCTGAAATGTCTACTATTTTCGATTGCAGTTGCCGTTGTAATAGCTTTCTTTTTGTGTTGGGCACCGTTCCATTCACAAAGGCTTATGACATTGTATATTACCGAGTGGACACCAGAGCTACATACCATACAAACAACGCTATTTTATATATCTGGTAAGTGGTAAATTAGAATGGCATGTGTTTTCTCTTTCCGCTGTTTCGTTCCTTGCACCTTAAAACATCACAGATTCTTTTTGGTCCTTGTCATAATTACAATAAAACAAAACAAACAAGTGAAACTGTGAGCTACTGCTCACTGATGATACCCCCGCCGCAAGTGGATACTTTTAATAGTGTAAACATATGTAAGTGTTAGGTAAACAGGAAGTTGTTGTGTGATAAATCTGAAAACGGATCACACGGTATAGCTGACTTATATAAACCCTGAAACCAAATTTCAGAAATCCGTATGATGTAGTTCCTGAGAAAGATGCGACGAAAAATATTCATGGGACGGACTGACGGATGGACGGACGGACAGACAGAGGTAAAACAGTATACCCCCACTTTTTTAAAGCGGGGGTATAAAAAGAACCCACATTAGCAACACTATGTTCCCTGTAGAATACAACCAGTTATAAATTATAATTAGCGTGTTGTACTTCTTTGTCGACTATAAAATTCTACAAAATGAAAAATACATATTACGGTTTTGCGACATCTTATTTTATACATCGCTCAGTGAGGTGTGGGTTATAGTGATGTAACTGTCCGGATAATAATCAAAATACTGCAGGACCAAATCTATTTTTCCATTTAAACAATGTCATGGACCAAAATTACAGGTCGAGTTTGATTTTGACGTTTTTTAATTTCAATTACCGTTCAAAAGTGATACCCTTTAGTTATATTAAAACCGTGGATTTTTAATATTTCAAGTTGATAATAATAATACTTGACAAAACCTTTTGAATCGAATCATAATGTCACAAACTATTAAATCTAGGACTTTGCCGGATTTACATTTACCGTTCAAGAGTGAAGTCCTTAATTATCTTTAAAAAAAAAAAGGGTTTAAATTTCTGATAACTAAAGTACAACTGAACAGAATCTTTTTGAATACTGATAAGATGCCATAGACTATAACCTACAGATTAAGTGTGAGTTTGACGGATTTGCCACTAACTGATCAAGAGTCTCTTAATTTTCCTAAGAATTGGAGATAGTTGTTTTGTTTCAAGATGAAAATTAAAGTTTAACTTGACATAATCCATTTTAAAGTTAAACACAATGTCGTGGACCATAATGTACTGATCAAGCTCGATTTTGACAATGGACATTCACCATTCAAGAGTTATATTGTGGGTGGGGTATCTGTGATAACTATATCACCTAAATCTAGATTATCTACTTTTATTATTTCTACTCGAATATACCAACCAATATTATTGTCATTAATCATTTACAGTATGTTTGTGGCAATACAAATTCAAACAAACAATAAACAACAAAATAAAAACAAAACAGTATATAAAAAAAACATAAGTGAAAAATTTACAATATTACAACATTAATAGCCATGTTACAATCATACCTCTGCTCTCAGTTCTAATGATTTTTTAAAAAAAGAAGCTAACATGTCTAAAGGAAGCGGCGTTTAATATATAAAATAATTATTGTTCACCAGGGAAATGAATGAAATGTTCATCATCTAATTGTATATCATTAAATGGATTTTGTCTGATATTCTGCTTTACCTTGCAATTCAGAATAAAATGAAATTCATCTTCGTTGACTTTGCAGGTTTGCACAGTCTTTGTTTTCGAGGAATTTTAATGTAACGACTATTTTCTATTTCAAGACCATGGTCACTTATACGAAGTTTAGTAAAAATATTCCGGATAGAAAAATCATCAAACAATAAGTAAAAGTGGCTTCAAGTGAAGGTTTTAATTTTTTATACAGAAAAAGTTTGCTACTTTCGTCGATGTTTTCTATTCAACTTCTATTTAAATCTTTATAATAGTCGTTTATTGCATTTTTAATTTCTGATTTAAAATGGTTTACATCTGTATTTTTATTACAGTTTGTCACTTTGTCTTTAAAGTTATTGTCTGGTTAGACGTTTTTAGCATATGTATACCAAGAATATACACCTTGTAATTCAAGGGATTTTGACTTTAAATGATATACCGATGAATATTATGTTTAGGCCGACGTTGATATATAGACCTTCTCTCTAAAAGTCTACCATCATGTTAGAACTAGCAGCTGATGTTTTAAAAACATATTCGATACAATAAAATACGTTTTTAGCTCGTTCCCAACGATCGATATAAATGAACTTAATAGTTTGGAATTTCTCTTATCTTTTAATAAATTTTAAATATCATCAGTGATTGACAATGTAACGGTTTCGTGTTTCCGATGAAAATGAGTTAAAAGGGCTTCATATACCATCTTCGAATTACATATGGAAATATTCATAAACATTTATTGTTGCATACTATACCATTAACAGATAAAATCTACTTTGCTTCTGAGAAAAAAAGTGACGGACACAGATCTACACGCACTTAAATAAATCTGTAGAGGAAATGACAACGCTAAGCTTTAATTATACATTTGTATATCTACAGAACAAATAAATGGAATGACTGTATCTTTTCAGGAGTTCTGTATTTCGTCAGCTCAACGGTTAATCCTATATTGTATAATTTAATGTCCAAGAAATTCAGACAAGCGTCAAAGAAGACATTGTGTAAATGTTGTTTTAAAAAAGAGTTCAGCTCAAAAGCAAGTCTTTTTGGTAATGGCACATACAGAGATAGACCATCACAGTACTCCTACAGCAGGATTTCAAGGAATGGAATGATCCAGAGCCGATCCACTACCCTGCATGAGACGTCAGTTGCTGATATTTCTGTGTAATAAGACGATTATTATATTTACCTATATAAAAACAAGCATACTTATAATGCTGTACATGTTAATTATTAAAAGTAATTCGTTATTTCGTGGTGAACATTTTATATGATTGTTGGAGTTTTTCCGAACATTTAACCTTGTTAGTTTTATTCGATCTACTATTGTTTTAAAGATATCTAACAATTACTTGCATTGCCTTATATTTTTTCCATGGCGACCGAATTGGATGATCGAAATATAGTTGTGAGACCTAACAATGAAGATATTGATTAATGTTAAATTTGTTTAAGAAGTCTTAGGAGACGATACACCGTTCTTTGATTTCTGAATTACAGTAAATTAAAAAAAAAAGAAGGTTTTTAAGTATCTTCATTTTGAGAAATGGGTTGTTATATTATTGCCAATGAGACAACTAGCCACCAGTGACAAAATGACAAGGATGTCAACAACTAGTGGTCTTTAACAAAGAGCAATACACATATTGTATAGTAAGCTATTAAAGGCTCCGGCATGACAAAATGTGAAACAATCCAAAAGAGGAAACCAACGGCCTTATTTAAGTTGAAAACAATAAAAGAGAAGCAATTATGGAATACAGCAACCAACGACAACCACTGAATAACAGGCTCTTGACTTGAGTGAGGCGTGTTAATAATATGGCGGTGTATGCCAGACATATTTGTATTTCATTTTATCATACATATCTTGCTTTCACTAAGAGTTTATATTTTTTTTTTGGAGGGGGGGGGGGGGCAAAAAGAATATCGTGGAATGAATTTCACGTCAACATTTTGAAAGAAATACTGCATGACTGCAGAATACGGCTGTTTTTATATTTGAAATTTGTAAGAATTTTCTAATTACATTGTGTATTCACGATTTCTATTTTCCTCCTGCATGGTAACAACACTATTGTTATTCAATTTAAAATAGTTTTAAAACTTGAAGTGCGTCTTTCCGAGAACAGTTGAAGCGATTAAAGAGTGTAATTCTTGTGTAATTCCCGGAATACATATATACTGTGTAACACTTTATCCTGCTTTCATTTAGCTTGAACCTGCACACTGAAATTTTCCTAATGATACAACTAATTAAGTATAACAATTTCTTTCTATTGTAGGCATAGACACCATGTGTAGATTATTTTCTTCAAGTTTATATGGACATTGCACGCTTTTTGCATGATTGATGCGAAGGATTTAAATATTTGACAGCATGGCGCACAATTTTTAACTTTGATTCCACCGGTGAATTTGACATGGGAATTTCACTTTTTTTCTGTGTTGTAAAGACATTTGTTTTTAAATCACATTTATTACCTAAGTAGCATGCTTTCAATTTTATTTCATTGCAATGTGTTTACGACTTTTGTCACTCACTTACGACAGCACAGATTCACATTTAATCAGAAACAGTGCAAAAAGAAAGTTACAATTGGAAAGTTAACAATTTAATTCCAGAATGTCAGTGACTTATCAGCTGAATTTGTTTGTTTTTTCAAGTGCCCTTGTCAGACTGAAAATGTCTAATCGTAGGATTTAACGGTTTAAACCCGTTATTGGATATCAGATTACACAGCTACGTTTTCCGAATTGATAAAATGGACAGTTTGAAAGGATTGTTTTTCTGTGGAACGTCGATAGATACGAAAATCGGGAAATCTCCACAACCAGCTGGGAGTGTGATATGATGAAAGTTAAATGCACGTTTCTATCATCCCATCGAAGACTAACTTTAATTGATATTGTATTGGTCAATAAAGTCTGAAACAATCAAATTTGCTGTCCTTGACATTATGACTGAGAAAAATGTTCATATATATATATGTCCAGATACAACATCAATACGAATGAACTGAAATTGCGATACACAGCTAGAGGTGTAAACATAAAATCAATTCAAAGTTGTCATTCTAAAGGAAACTTTTGTTTCCTGCTGAAATGTCATTTTAAACCATGTGACAAGAAAAAATTACAAAAGGAAATAACAATATACAGATACGTTAAAAAGTTTCCATATATCTTGGATAACCAAAAGATAAAAATATTTACCTCTCCGCTTCTGCACTTCTTAAATTATAATAGAAAGAATATTCGGGATAAAGTCTTTGAATGTTTTGCACTAACTACAATTAACTCTATCATTCACAAATCAATACTGCAAAAGATATAGTTGGTATGCAAACACTATAATAAATCTGTACCTCAAAATGTCTGCGAGAAATTCATTTAGTAATTGTCAGATTTTACATTTAGCATAGTTCCACAGTTGTGAATTCATGCACAGTATAGTATTATTTTTTGGCACAGTTTTGTTTCATTTTAGGTCTGCATTATATGTTGTATGTTGAGGATACACTGTGGTCTTTTAAGAAATATTCCGTACATTTCAGTTAAAGTATTTTCTTTTTAAAAGGAGGATTGGGGAGGCAGTTGGACGATCCATGCCACAATTTTGTTTAACGATACGTACACGACGGACAGCCAGCTGTTTCGGAAACTCCAGAGAATCCATACGATAAATAGAATAGGGAATGGAAACGGGGAATGTATCAAAGAGACAACAACTGACTTAAAAGCAGAAAACAGCCCAAGGTTACCAATGGGGTCTTCAATGCAGCGAGAAAATCCCGTACCGAGAGGCGGGTTTCAGCAGGCCCCTAAACAACAATGTTTCCTAGTTCAGTGTAATGGACGCCACACTAAACTCCGAAACATACAAATTAACCAAAATCAAAAAACAAAAACACTCAGGACTAACAAAGGCTAGAGGTTTCTAACTTGGGACAGGCTAAAAATGCAGCGGGGTAAAACATGTTTTGTTAGCCAATGTGGAGGAAACAAACACACATCGTATATATTCATTTTTGTGAAAAAAATCACACTACTTGCGTATAGTTTTATTGGACTCTTTAAAGAACGATTAAAGCAATTAATGCTATATATGGTATATATTATATAATCCACTAGAGCTTAGAAAAGTTGTCAACAACAAAGAGTATCAGCTTACTTTAATCTCCTTCAAGTTTAAATTTCCTTTCAATTATAATGTCTTGTATATATAGTGCGATGACAAATAATTTCACTCTAGCTCAGAAAGGCATGTCATTTACATTGCTTTACGCTCATTAGTTTTCACTGACTATTTATAAGGATTATCAAATACTCAAATAGAACAATATGTTTCCTGACTGATGTCATTATATTAACTCTTGCAATAACCTGCTGCTTAGTTCCAATATTGAAATTATATCAGAAAATTTAGCTGAAACACAAACATGACAAAATAAAAAATATAAGAATAAGGGATTTAAAATTAAATAAACTTCAACATATCTGTAATACTACAGGAACGGATTTTCAGGATTTTCAGGAAAACGCTTTAAATGAAAGAGATATAGATATGATTTTGCAGGTTATTCTCGCAATTAGATATTAGCTCAACGTCCGAATTTAAATGAAAGAGATATAGGTATGATTATGCAGGTTATTCTCGTAATAAGACGTTAGCTAAACGTCCGGCTTTAAATGAAAGAGATATAACAGAAATAGCAAATCCCTTCTGCTACATTTTTCGCCCTTTTTGGTTGTATCAGATCTTTAATTTTTAAAATACGTTTTTGATTTTCATATATTTGAGCCGCGAGCATAATTCATGAGACATTTATTGTCGAAATGCGCATGTACAACTATTTCATGTTTGCCTGAAATAAGTTATACAAGAAATGTAATGCCCATATAGGAAAACAAATTGGAAACTACATATTGGTTAAAGTTTATGTTTGGTAATGAGATTAATCAAGGAAAGCTATGATGCGTGACCGTTTTTGCTAAGAAAACTATTCTTATTCACAATTGCCAGTTGTTCATTAAATGCAATACACATACATTGTATTTTTAAAAGTGCATACTTAATTTTGGAAAATTAATTTATTGTTAAACACAATGTTAATCACATTCCTACACCCTGTGTGCATAATACACGGCTTGATTAAAAAAAACATCCGATGTCATTCAAGAGTTATGGGACTTTGACCATCATATAAATAATTTTTTGTATATTATCCACTAGCTCTAGTATTCTTGGATCACATTTTTACAAAGTCAACATTGATGTTGGGATTGGTGATTGAATACTCGCTTTTGATCATTTGGTTTGTCATTCCAGACTTGTATAGATTAGACCGTTGGTTTTCCTGTTTGAATTGTTTTACACTAGTCATTTTGGGGCCCTTTATATCTTGCTGTTCGGTGTGAGCCAATGCTCCGTGTTGAAAGCCGTACTTTGACCTATAATTGTTAACTTTTTATACTTTGTGACTTGGATGGAGAGTTGTCTCATTGGCACTCATACCACATCTTCTTATTTATATTATGTCACTTTTTTTTGCAACAATTTCAATATGCACAATAAGGGGGTGTTGTGGGCGCAGCTGTTTACTGTTATTGTCAAAACATTTGTTACGTTTAAATGACGTGTTTTTTTCAACATGCAATCGACATTTTCATTGGAACAAACAGTGCTGTCTTGTTGCCTAGCCGTGCTTTGGTTAATATGAGGTAGAATCCATTCAGAAGCTTTTTAAAAAAGAACGTAAAAAGCCCGCATTATCCTCCAACTTTATGTTCAGATAAAGATGTTTTCCTCTCTCTCTCTCTCTCTCTCTCTCTCTCTCTCTCTCTATCTCTCTCTCTCTCTCTCTCTCTGAATAGTCTCTCTCTCTCTCTCTCTGAATAGTTTAGAACTTTAGAAATTGACTATGAAGGTAGATTGAAAACCGAACTTACTGATAAAAAAAGATGATTTCAGCTGTCCCGTGTTAAAATTCAATTTCTATGTACCAACGTTTCAGCAGGGCCTGCATAATGAGCATATATCTTCCAGTTGCTACGAGAGTTGTTTAATTGGGAATCATACCACATCATCTTCTTTTTAGAAAAAAAAAAATAAATGCAATGGATTTTTACTAGAAAAAGAAATTAATGGAGGTGGTGCCTTTCTATTGTTATTGAGTGTGTAATTCCAATGCAATATAATTTGCAATGTCCATTCTTTAAAATCTGGCAAGATCGAAATTATTAAAACATCCATACCTCTAGAGTGTCAATCATGTTTAGAGCAGCCTCCAAGTCCTCATCATCAATTGTTTGTGGTTTGGCAATACGTGACATAACACAGACGAGACAAAAGAGTCAATCTGGCATGGCTGAAGGCATTCCTCTGGTTGAAACATTTTAGTGCCATTCTCATTACGACAAACAAGTATGTTCCTTGATACCCTTTCTGCCACATTGTTTCCTTGCATTAAACATGTTAAATATTCTTCCGAGATGAATATTGATATTCTCTGTGAAACTGCCTCCAAGGGTGACTGGGGAATAGAAATATGGTTATCACAAGTTCTTCCGACCGGCAGTAAAACCCTTGCCAAAGTGAGGCGTCCGTTTGGCTATTCTGGATGTATCAAGTATACGCAGCCACGTCCGTTCAGAATGGGGACGTTAAATTAGATGCCTCTTGTAGAGAGAGTGCCAAACTCTCTGCATGTTTAGAACCCTTGCAACAACTCTTTTGAGGGGTTCGTAAGTGGCCAGTTGCAAGGCCAAATTTCTGTCCCTATCCTATATATACCCTCATTTTCCAGTGGCAGTTTAAATTTCCGCGACCTCCATCCCGGATGGCCTCTATTACAAGACCTACCGTTTGTGTTTATTGATAATTTGTTCTCGTCCTGGACATGCATGAAATATTTGCCACTGGACGTTAAGCAACCAACAACCAATTTATCTTTCTCGGATTGTTTCTCTCCTTTTTTTTGGGACCAAATAAGTCTTGGACACTCTTGAACAACCAGGCTCTATACATGAGAAGACATTTGATGGTGATTGTCGAGTCTCTTTTCCACAATAAAATTGTCTTGAACCGAATCTTGTGTTTTGAAAGATGTTTCCCGCTTACCTTTTGGAGACAGCAGTCAGCCAGGACAAGTTATGTAGAAGAAAGTTGTGATGGACAGATCTTTTTAATATGTTCCTCTGAAATCATATTCTACTGCCAACTTCAAATGTTTTGTATGCCATGATCTGGTTTCTTCTAAAAAACAAAAATGAAATTGGTTTACAAATCATTCTACCTAAATTTAAGTAAAAAGATGTTTTTTAAATAATTAAGAACCACAAGTGAATATCTGTATTTTATGGTACAAAGTACTGTATAAATCTTACAATTTGTAAAATAGCACAATTTATTTTAAATTTATATTTTCAGTTTTAAATCACGATAAAATTAAGGATTTTTCATCAAACTAAGAGATCAAATTTCTTAGGCAAAATTGTCATAAGATGGTTTTGGTTGTTCAGTATTTACTTAGGCAATTGATTAATTACCACATGGTCAATACCATTTCTGGTCAACATTTTGTTCCCGAGGTGATAATATGCCTTATTAGGCTAGTAGTCAATTAATTATTTAGCACTAGCCAGGGTTTATTATATTTCATATTTTTTTGAGCTGATTGAACATCTTTACAAAATTACGGTTTCAACCTTCTTTGGCAAAGTAGACCTTATACTGTTTTATTCATTTTATTTTTATGTCCAGTTAGTTGTAAGTGTTGTGGATGAGTTTACCCCTTAAAAATGCTTTAAATGATTCAAATATCAATCCAGTATGTTTCACTTTAATATACTTATCATCATATACACTATC